GTTTGTTTGTTTTTTTAATCTCAGTTTACGAAGATTCGATTAGCAATCTCCAGGAGTAGGGTGGCATTCATCCCAGCAAAACCCTCCTATTTTGGGATGTCAGGGGCTGATTAGGCTATGAATGTAACATTAATCATCTGCTGGCTTTTAGAGCTCTCTGGATTAAATGAAGTATAGGTACAGTACGCTTCACAGAGCCTCTCGTAAAATTGTCCCTGTGGCTTATCTCTCTTTTGAATTATTTTTGTAGTTTTTGTCATATTTGTGAATTTATTTGTACTAGTTTTTATTATCTGTAGGAGTGCCTGCCAGAATTTGCTAAGATGGGCATGGCCATCCTCAGTGTGGAAATCCCAGTCAGGCTTCTCACTTGGAAAGGCAGTTCTAGCCCAAGCCTCAGAGTTTACCACATCATTAGGAGCATATTCTTGTAGCCAAGTCTGCTGCTACAAGGACTCTGTGACGTCCTTCTGTGTTAAGCAAGGTGAAGACTAGCTGCCTGCAGTTGTCCCAAATGGGCTGATGGGTTTGGAGTATAGACTCCATGAGCTCTATCATTGTCTGAGGCTGTTCTGAGTAAGGAGGAGTGTGGTGTTTCCAATTAAGCAAATCAGTGGGGTCAAAAGGCTGATAATACAATGTTGCTCTGCCTTCTGTAATAGCCCCGTCTGCCCCTATCAGGGAAGGCCCTCGGGTTTCTCACAAGGGCATCTGGAGATTGAGGTTTTCTGAGGCTGCAGCAGCTTGCTGGGTGACTATGGGTGAGGCAGAATCTGGATACAGAATTCAGGATGGTTGGCCGTCTCTCCCCTGAGTGGGCTGAGCTGCTGCTGGTCCCTCAGTCTCCTGCTCCTCAGGTAGCTCCAATGAAATGGATGAGGGCGGAGTTTCAATCACTGACTGGGCAGGGACAGAGCATACAGGGATAGAGCTGTTACTGACTCCTCTTCGGGAGTGTCTTGCAAAATAGGGGCCCCAACCTGGGATTTCTTTTGGCCAGAGGCCAGCGTGTGTGGCATGACACGGGCAGCCAGAATAGTACATTGATTTTTTCCCTCTAATGTAAATCCACACCCAGGGTGGAATGATCTGGGCGACTTGTAACCAGGAGTCAGCATAAGAAAACTGGTCGGGATGGCCTGGGTGCGGGTAATCTCATTGTATACTGTCCATACTGGGTAAGTGGAGAGTGCCCTCTAGTGGCCATCTCATCTTAAAAGAGGGCCATTCAATTTCACAGAGAGCTCACAGCCTCTCCAGTTTTAACTATATAATCACCAGAGAAACCCTTTTTAAAGTTAGTCAGCATACAATCCAGCACAGTGGGCTTGGAAGATTTGGACTGAAGTTTTCCCATTGTATCTCAGTTTTCTCTGACTTTCTGAGCTGTTAGATGCCTGTACTTTCTAACAGGCATGGAAAATCACTGGCTAGAAATAGTGCTTGATTAACAGACTATGAAGGGACAGGTGGCTCCTAGGGGCGGGGCCTTACCCAGAGGGTTGGGGGCCACGCAGGAGACAATTGGGGAGCCACGCAGAAGACACCCAGAAGGAGGAGGCTGCTTAAAGGGCCAATATTTGTTCCCTCTGAGGGTGTTTTGGCCAAGGGCTGGGCTACAATCTGAAGGATCACAATAATTTCTCTCTGAGGTCCCTCTTCTTGGCCTTCCTATGGTTGATACTCCAGTGCTAGAGGTTGATCCCTGCCTTCTCCTTTCCTAGGAAAAGTGGGCAGTTTTTGCCCTGTAGTGGAAGTCTTTGTAGGAGAGTCAGGAGGGAGGGTGTCTTTCGCCACAGTTGAGAGGAGCTCATGTTTCAGTTGCTGGAGACAGAACTTGTAACCTGACATCTACTCCGCCTATCCATCTCTACAGGGAAAACCCTCCCAATAGTCCCTGTGTCCCCTCCCACACACACACACACACACACACACACTCCCGTGAATCGTGTCGCAACACAAAGGTTGAGTATCCTTCCCAAAAGAAAGACCATTCAGGCGTCTGTTCTGGCTATGTCCCTCGCAGGCTTTATGTGTCTCTTTGACAATATGTGGTCGGATATAGAACCTCCACCAGATTACACATGTAGAGAAGGAAGAGGGCCCTTAGCATGTAATACCATCACTGAGTCTTTTCAGAAATACCATGGAACCACAGAAAACAGACCCATTCATATCTTGTGGTACAATGCAATGTGAGACCACAAACACATTCACTCTCACACTCACATTCATTCAGAGGTTATTCATTCCCTCCCCACACCAACCAATTTACCAGAGTTGGCCACAGACCAACCAGTTACCAGATGGGCCCTAGTCCTGACTGCCAGTCCTGTGACCGAAGGAGGGTGGATGAGTCTCTTCTTCCACTTCTTTTTTTTTTTTTTTTTTTTTGCTATAAGGCATGTGTGCTCGCCAGAAAGGCAGTGAGAGACAGAGAGACAGAAAGTGAGAAATCACCTCCTAGGGGAGATGGCCATGCCACAATCCTTCTCCTCTATTCTCCTCTCAGGACCTTGAGCACACACGCACATGCACCCAGCATGAGTTTAAGCCACCAAGTCCAGGACTTGAACCGTGGTTGACTACATGGGAGTCATGCTAACAGCTGGTCCCTCTTCTTCCACTCTTAAGTGAGTGGGTTGATCAATACCAGATGAGTCCTGACTGTTGGTCCTGGGACTGAAGGAGAGTGTACGGGTCTCCTCTTCTGCTCTAACTGAGTGGACTGACTGATAGAACTCTACATATTCCCCAGGGGCTTACCAGATTCCCAGAGCTGACCACAGAAGATGCATACAGGTCCGGAGTAAGAGTTGGTCCTTCTCTCCAATTGGAGTCTGATAATCCAGGAATATTCATCTCCCAGGTGGGCATCCCAGCTGAGGGAGCCTGTCAAACAAGTCAGGGGCATGCCTATCTCTCCACATCGCCCATTCCGGAGGTCAAAGCACCCTGGGATTGGTGGCTCAAAGGGCCAGTCTGAGTTTCATTTCCAGGCCAATGCACCTAATGTTGCAGAAAACCAGATGGCTGAGAAATAAAAAGGCAGCACTCCAGAGAGATAGGAGTAACTCTTTAATATGCTAGTAGGCTCAGAGAAGTTAACACTCAGAATCTCTGGTCCCACTTAGGGGTCGAGTACAGTCTTTTATCAGGAAGTTTGAGGAGGGGCAGCTTTCAGTGGGCTAAGGGTATCCTATCAGGGGAAAGAAGTTTATCGGAAGAAGCAGCCCAGAGTTTGTTCTCAGGAAGAAAGGGTTAGATAAGCAGGGTGTCCAAAGATAAGCAGGGCATCCAACTTCTCCAGGTCTCGGATTGCTCCTTATCACTCTGGGGGTGGGGCAGAGGCAGTAAATTCTCAGAGGCCTGGGAAATGCTGGCAATTGCTGGCCTTGGGCTATTGTGAGTTCTGGGTCCATCCACATCAAAGTGAAAAATAACCCCCCCAGGGGGATGACCACACAACAATTTCTTTTTTTACATTTTCCTCTTGGATTTTGGGCACATACACACAGACATCCATTATGATTTTCAAGCCACAGACAGTGTTCAGGACTCTTGATTACAGTCAGCCATGTGGGAATACAATAAGCTTAACCACCATGCCACCTGCTGGGCCTAAATTTCTGTATATGTTAGAGTGTTTAAAATGGGGCAGGTTGAATGTATAAAAACTATGTAATGACAGTAACATAGTGGGTATGATAATTACCCTCTTTTAATCACACACATGGTATTCATAAATGGAAAAGTAACATTGTGCATCATATGTTCAATTATTGTACGTTAATTTAAAAAGAAAAAAAAGAAAGAACATTAAGGAAAAAAGTATATGCATGTAACTGAAACAAGGACACCATTTCCCAATTCTTGCTTCAGAATCAATCTACAAGCTCCCAAGCCCCTGACTCTATCCTAACTCTTAGTCCAATCTTTGCCTGCAGAAACAACTGTATCTTATCCCAACAGGAACTAGTACAACAGCTGCCTTTCTACTCTTAGCTATTTTTTGTGTCACTCCTAATCCTAGAAAGTAGGATCATTTCCCTGGTGGGTAGGGCCCACTCACTAACCAATAGGGCAGGGTCTGCATGTCATAATGGGCATGCAGTCACAAGGTGATGCGGGCGTTGCTATGATATAAATGCTGGAAGAACTCTGGGCACTTACTCATTTGGACTCGTTTGGACTGGAGTAACTAGGAGCCCCTTTAAAGACAATGACTGAAAAGCTACCCCCAATTGCCCCTCCTAAACCCCAGCCTCCTCCTCGTTCTCTTCCTTCCCACCCTTCTCATGGATGCCACCTTCCTCCCATTGCTCCTCAGTCTGTCAGCCCTCAGCCTACTCCCCAGCACCAGGCCTCTCGGTCATCTTCCCGCCCTATCCACTTCCCTTCCTTGACTAATACCAACTCCTACCAGCCCCCTCCCTTGAAGGTCTCCAAGCCCAGCTCTTCCTCTGTTCTTTACAGACCATCCACTAGCCGCCGCCCTGTCTGTCTTGGTCCCCTTTCCCATTACTCCAACATCTTTCTCCCAACTCCTCCTCCCAGCCCTCCTTCCTAATCCCCTGGACTCTAGCCCCCACCGACAACCAGCCGCTTCCAACTGGACCTGATCATCCACAGCTCTCACCCTGGATCTGCAGTTTCCCTCCTACTGGGACAGTTCTGCTGCTATTCAGAATTGCCAGGTCTGAGCATTCCCCACAGCATGACCTGCTGGACACTGGAAATGTGACAGGATGGCAGCCACTGCGCAGACATTGGAATGTCAACCCAATTAGTTGCAGGATCCCTTTCTCTGACCAGATCCTGGTTATCTCACTGCCATGTGCATTTTGCCTTCATCCTCATATTATTAGTCCTCTTCAGGAGCTAGCAATACTTCAGTGATTTTCTTTTTCTAGATTGTCTGTTTTTTCCTCTCCTAGCTGATCAACCAGCTTGCACAAGCTGCTGCATTTGTATTTGTCCTCTCCAAAGAACTAGGTTGGTAACCAGGGAGCAAACTGAAAGACCAGTGAGAGCGCAGGTCCGGGATAGCAGAAGTGGAAACATTGTTCTCCAAGAGGGTAAGTCCTACTGATTTGCTCTGGTTAAATGAGTGGTTCAGAGGGTGACCCATAAAATTCAAACACAGGGCACCCTTGCTGTATAGATAGTGCAGACTCAGGGCTGGTGTTCTGGTTTGAGCTTTATATTATTTTTTAAAATTTATTTTTGTTGTTGTTGTTCTGCTTCCCCTCTGATTGTATCATTCCTCATCTTTGGACTCTAATGCCAAAGGATGGTCTTCCTTCCCTTGAGAAATGTCCCTGCCAGAACGGGGAGCATCCCTCCATCATGTTCTTATCAAAGTGTGATGGTTGGGCCACTCTCTAAGTTAGCTGCCTCTTCACTAAAAGGTGAAGGGAAGAGTTTAGAAAACAAAAATATGCCAAAGTTCTTCACAGAGGATTGCATCAGATGAACAGATAGAATTTGTTTTCAAGAGAAAATAAAATATGAGTTTATTTTGGTGCAGAATTTTTTTGAAATCCATATTTTTTCATTATATGCATTTTCATGAACTTTTGAAGAGCTTTTATTTATTTTTATTCTTTTTAAAAATGTCTTTATTATTATCATAATCTTGTTTATAATACATTGAATTACATATAACTTTACAGTGTATTACATTTCTTTTTCCAGAAAGAGTACCATGCATATCAGTCAATACAAAGACATCAAAATTCCCAACATCATCATCCAATAGCTTTTCTTTTTTTTTCAGGTTATTGTTATTAGTATTCCATTTTTTTAAACATTCAATCACTATCATTTTATTTGTAAAAGACTTTACCCAACATGAAATACTTCTCAGACCATTCCAGTTGAGAATACTACACACGTCATCATAAACAGATAATAAATCAAATCTGTATCCCACTAATGTCATGCCTCTCTATTTGTTCTCTTGCTATCCTTCTCCACACTCTTCTCTTCTCCTACCCTGTTCCACACTGTCTTATCATCGCTAACTATTTTCACTGCTTTTATGCCCTTCAATATTTAGATCCTTACCATAAAATGTGGCATATATTAAGTGGATACATACAATATCTTTCTTTCATATCCTGGCTTACTTCATGCAGCAATAGATCTTCCATTTCCGACCACTTTCTATCAAATGCCAGGGTCTTATTGTTTTTTTTATGGCTGAGTAGTAACAGAATTTTTTAAAAAGTCTCTCCTCAAATTATACATGAGCAGATTCAATAAATCTCAGTCTAAATCCCAATATACTTTTGAGAATTTGCCAAGTTGATTATAGTTTCTATGAAAATGCAAAGGACCAAGAGAGCTTTCTGTATTTTTTTTTTCAGTTTTCTAGTTACTTGTAGCAAGAGGGTAAATCCAGAATTATACTACATCATGGGCAGTCATAAAAGTTTTATTTTGGGATGGGTCAGCATTGAAGGGTGGGAGTCACATCCCACATGGCCACAGTTCAAATCCCAGCCCTGGTGACTTGAAAAACATTCCAAGCATGCGCACGCACAGAATCATGATGAAATGGAATAGTGCAAGAAAAAGGATTACAACTTGAAAATGCCCAATTGGCAGGTGCTTCCTCTCTCTCTCTCTCTCTCTCTCTCTCTCTCTCTCATCTCTCCCTGGCACACACATCTCTACTGGCAATAAAAAAGAATTTCAAGCTCTTATTCTTTAATTATATGAAATTCTCAGTGGGATATGTGTAAATCTGCTGTATGTTAGCTCGGCTGACAATCTCTTGGGTTATTTGCTAATGTGTCCTGTCATTTGTATTGTGAGCTCATCTTCAGTCAGGCTTTCTTAGGAGAGATTCTGTGGCCGTGCTTATGGCAGTGCTCTGCCAGAGTACTAAACCTGCCATCTACTTAGCATCTCCAAAGTAACATTAACCTCAATTCCAATTTAAATTGGCTATGGGTTTCCCCGCCAGGTAGTTTAAACTTTAAAATCAAAACCAGGACCAGAGGTAAACTCTGGGTATCGGTTTCAGAAGAGACATTCGTCTTTTCAAAAGTCCTAGTTGAAGACCTTGTTATTTCTTTGTGGTAATGGATAGTTTTCAGTTTTGTGATAGCAGCAAAATTTGAATTGCTAGTAATTCTCAAAGTCAACGATCCATACCTGACCTTATTCTGTGTTGCCACACCAATGACTCAGGTGTGTACCACTCTTTTTTTTAATATATTGGTAGATTTCCTTTTCATATTCTCTTACGTGGCTATACCATAATTTGCCTAAATGTTTTCCTTTTTTTCTTTTCTTTTCTTTTTTTTTAGACCTTTTGCTACAAGGCGTTTGTCCTGCTTGTGGCAGAGACAGAAAATGAGAAACCATCCCCCATGGGGGATGACCATGCCATAATCTTTTCTCCTCCAGTCTCCTCTCAGGATTTTGAGCATGCATATACATGAACTAGGTATGAGATTCAAGTCACTGAGTCTGAGACCAGTAAAATGGTTGGCCACATGGAAGTCCAGAGCCTTAATTACTACACCACCTGATGGTCCTGCCTAAATCTTTGTGAAATATTTACATTGTTTTCCATTTTCTCTTCTCATGGATGATCTTATGAACTTAACCACAGGGATTATTATTAAGGGTGTTGTTTAATAGACTATAGAGTTGAGGTTGTTGACTTTCCAAACTGTATGTCATATATTTGCAGCAGTGAAATAGTTTAAATCACTTTCCATTTTAACCCCTGGAAGAATGCTAGAAAAAGACACATCAAGAAAATTTAAATGTTGGTAATACTGCCTATGGCTTTATGGAATCACAGAATCTAAAGTGGCTGATGCATGAAGTAAAATTAGCAGGGGAATCTGACTTGATAGAAAACAGAAAAGGGGCGGATGGACCCAGTGAAGTAAGAGTATAAGTGACTTTAGTATCTTTGCCTACTGAAAAACAAAGCTTACATTTAAGTAGCACTGTTTTCTTTATAAAAGTGAAATTAAATCCAACATCTGAGGGCTCTCACTTAAAACCTGGAAACTTTAAAATATAAAAAAAGATGTAATATATGCATTTCCACTTGAAAAAATAAATAGTTTGATAAATAAAGTGCTACTCCAAACATAGTACAACAGTAGAATGTTCCCAGTGAAGTATTAACTGTTGGTTTGTTTAGATAAGAAATACATCTAGTCGAAATCAAGTTGCAATTACAAGACTTCAAAGCAAAGCAATTCGGTTCAGTGATGTTGGTTCTAATCTCACATCAAAAGCAGCTGTAGCATAGTCAGCTCATGAAAAGAAAACAAATCTTTTCAACCAATATGAAGCATGGGAAAACAAGGATAATATTTCTTGAAAACTTTAGAGAAATAAAGTGTCACACTGTGAAACACACATACACACAAAAAAAAAAGAAAAAGAAAAAAAGTTGTGTGTTATCTCAAAAACAGATTAGTATGACAGCCCCGTCCCGATCTCTGCTATTCCTTGTAATCATTTTTTAAGGTTTTTGCCATAGGGCATGTGTGCTTATCAGAGACAGTGAGAGAAAAAGTGAGAAACCATCCCCTGGGGGTATGGCTACGCCACAATCCCTTTTCCTTCATTCTCCTCCTGGGATTTGGGGCATACACACACGTATCTGGCATGATTTTCAAGTTGCCAGGACTGGGAACCATGGTGGGTCATGTGGGAGTTCTGTGCTTTAACCTCCATGCCACCTGCTAGTCCCTCTTGTGGTCAGTCTTAAACCTAGAAAGTAGGACCACTTCCTCGGTGGGTGGGGCCCACTCACTAACTGATAGGACAGAGTCTGCACAGGTTATAATGGGCATTCAGACATGTGATGATGGAGAAGGTGCCATGACATAAATGCTGAAGAACTCTGGCCATTTGTCCAGTTACTCATTTTGACTTGTTTGAACTGGAGTAACTAGGAGCACCATTAGTGACAATGACTAAAAACTACCCCAATTGCCCCTCCTAAGCCCCAGCCTCCTTCTCATTCCCTTCCTTCCCACCCTTCTCATGGAAGCCACCTTCCTCCCATTGCTCCTCAGTCTGTCAGCCCTCAGCCTACTCCCCAGCGCCAGGCCTCTTAGTCATCTTCCCCCCCTATCCATTTCCCTTCCTTGACTAATGCTAACTTCTACCTGCCCCTTCCTTTGAGGGTCTCCAAGCCCAGCTCTTCCTCTGTGCCCTACAGACCATCCACTAGCTGCCGCCCTGTCTGTGTTGATCCCCTTTCCCATTACTCCAACGTCTTTCTACCAACTCCTCCTCCCAGCCCTCCTTCCTAATCCCCTAACTGTGGTAGTCTCTGCCAACAATCCAGACACTCAACCAAACCTGATGATCCTGGGCAATATTCCTCTTTCTGGATCAGTTCTGATGCTGTCCAGAATTGCCAAGTCTGTGCATTCCCAGCAGCCCCGCCTGCTGGACTTTGGGAATGTGACAGGACTGCAGGCACTGTGCACTGTGTGTCATCTCCGTTAGTTACAGGAACCCCCCCCCCTTTTTTTTAACAAGATCCTGAGTATCTCACTGCCATTTGCATTTTGCCTTCAACCCCATCTTGTAAGACCACCTGAGGTGCCAGTGATATCTGAACAATTTCCTTTTTCTAGACCATCTGCTTTTTTCTCTCCTGGCTGATAACTGGCCACCCTGCATGAGTAGCCACATTTCTACCTGTTTTCCCTAGGGAACCCCGCCTGTAACTGCAGAGCAAGCTGCAAGACCAGTAAGGGCAGAGGTCTGGGAGAGCAGGAGTGGAACACATTACTCTTCTGCGGGAGGGTAAGTCATGTTGCTCTGCCATGGGTTGAATGAGTGACTCAGAAGGCAAGTCATGAAATTCAAACACAGGGAAACCCTTCTTTAGATTGTGGATATTCAGGACTGGTGTTTCAGTTTGGACCTTTTTTTCCCTGGTTCCTCTGTGACTCCATTATTGCTCATTTAAGGACTCTATTGCCCGAGAGAGAGACTTCCTGACCTCAAGAAATGCTTCCTGTTTGAACAGGGAGGGTTCCTCCATTTTTTTTCTCATCAAAGTTCTAATGGTTTGGTCTCTCTCTCTCAGTCAGCTGCCTCTACCTCAAAAGGTGAAGGGTCTGGAGTCTAGAGGACAAGAATATGCCCAAGTCGTCATCAGAGGATCGCATCATGTGAGTACATGGAATACATGAAAAAGTCTCTCCTCAAATTGATATCTGAGTAGATTCAAACAATCCCAACCAGAATCCCAATGTATTTTCAGGGAAAATTCCTAATTGATTATAATTTCTATGAAAATGCAAAGAGCCAAGTTTGTTTCCTATATTTTGTCCAGACTCGTAGTCATCGGAGCAGGAGAGTAAGCCAAGCAGTTTCTCCTTCCTGGGCAGAAGTAGAAGTTGTGTTTTGAGATATTTCCATAGGTACTATTTGTGACTCAAATCCCATATGCCTCCCCATGGAGTCAGCCATTCGGGTCTGGGTGACCAACGGGGGGGATGGGGGGGTGAGGCCTGGCAAGTCAAACAGAATCTCATAAGGGGAAAAATCATGCTTTTGAGGTGTACATTGAACCCAGAGCAGGGCCAGTGGGAGAACATCCACCCAGGGGCGTCCTGTGTCTTGACAGAGCTAAGCCAGGGTGGACTTGAGAGTGCAGTTCATTTGATCAACTCTCCCAGAGCTCTGGGGCTGGTAAGCAGTGTGACGCTTTCATTTTATGCCCAAGACCTTTGTTACTCCCTGTATGACTTCTGTCATGAAGTCAGGGCTGTTGTTTGACCCAGTCATAAGGGGGGGAGTGCAAACCGAGGTATAACTTCTTTCAAAAGGGCTCAAGTGATTTCCCTAGCCTTTTCAGTTTGTGTAGGGATCCACCCAGTCTGAGTAAGTGCAGACTTGGACTAGTAAGTACTTATAGCCCCGGCAAGGCCACATGTTCACAGTTGTTCACTGTGAACAACTCTGCCCAAGGGCCAACTTGGCCGGCTGGAATACAAACTACTGGGACAACTCCCCTGGAGTTATTGGAGGCAGACTTCCCAAAAGTGTGGGTTAAATGGAGTATGGATCTGGTATGTCTTATAGAGTCTTTCATAAAATTGCCCCAGTGGCTTATCTGTATTTTGAATTATTTTTGCGATTTTTGTCATCTTTGTAGGTTTTATTGCACTGACTTTCATTCCCTGTAGGAGTGTCTCTAAGATACTTATTGAGATGAGTATGGCCACCTTCAGTATTGAATTCCCAGTCAAGCTTTTTATTCAGAAAGGTAGTTCTGGCCCAAGCCTTAGGATCTACCATATCGTTGGAGGCATGTTTTTGTAGCAATTTTTTTTTGGTTGCTACAAGGACTCTGTGGTGGTGCTCTTCTTAGAGAGCCTGCAGGATTTGTGTTGTGGGGTTTTGTTTTGTTTTGTTTTGTTTTTGTTTTAATCAGAGTTGGACACGATGTGAGGGAAGAATAACATGAGTGGCCAAAATAGTGTATTAGTTTTCCCTTTTATGTAAATCTGTGCCCAAGGTGAAATGACTTGGGCTATTTGTAGCCAGGAGTCAGCATAGGGAAGCTGGTGGGGATGGCCTGGTGTGACAGTAACCACATTGTGCATAGGCCAAATGATCGAAAGATGCAGAGTTCAGTGGCCATCCCCCCTTAAAAGAAGTCCATTTAATCTCACAGAGGGCTTTTAACCTTTTTGGTTTCAACTTAACTTTTTTTTTTTTTTTGGCGAAGTTTTTGCTATAGGGTGCTTGCACTCGCCAGAAAGACACAGAGAGACAGAGAAACAGCAAGCAAGAAATCACCTCCCAGGGGGGATGGCCACACCACAATCCCTTCGCCTCCATTCTCCTCTCGGGATCTTGGGCATGCACGCACATGCACCCAGCATGAGTTTAAGCCACCAGGTCCAGGACTTGAACTGCAGTCAACTACATGGGAATCCAGCGACATAGACATTACGCCAACTGCTGGTCCCTCAATTTAACTTTATAATCATCAGAGAAGTCCTTTTTAAGCTTAGCATACAGTCCAACGCAGACTTGGAAGACTTGGACTGAAGTTTTTTCATCATATCCCAAATTTCTCTGACTTAACCAGTTATTAAATGCCTGCACTTCCCAAAAGACACAGGAGATCACTGGTCAGAGGAAACTTTAGAATAGATGATAAATGTTGCCAGCGGTGCTCCACTGATGTTATTTTGAGTCAAAAGTCAAATTAAAATTATTCAATTTGAACATGGTTAGGTAGAGCAATTTGGCAGCCCCTATAGAGGGTTTTGTTTTACATAAATTGTGAGTTTGTTTTATACATTGATGTATATCTTACAAATGAACAAAAACTGTTTAACAAATTTCCCAAAATAGAACAAAACATTTTTATTGATAGCAGTTTAAGATTTCTAACTATTTGAAAAAGCCTTGAGAAGGTAGAAACAAAAACCTCAAAGCAACTGCCCATGAACAGAAAGTCCTGAGCACCTAGGAATGAGAAAGGGTTAACTCAGTGTCGGTCAGCACTAAACAGGGCCACAAGGTCATTAAGAGTTGCCAAGTTGCTATGGGGACTGAGCTACAAGGTCACCACAGGATGTAAGTTTTCCTCAATATTTCTTGATAATCCACATTAGTATTTTCAAAGGCCAGTTGTTTTCAGAAATGCCTCAGTCACATCTGCATTCTACATTCTCTACCTGCCTTTGCAAAGATTTTTGCAACCTGTCTACAAATGTGTCACAGTCAGGAGGAACTTGTGTCCCAGCTTCCAGAGACAGAACTTGTGACCTGACATCTACTCTGCCTATCCACCTCTACAGGGAAACCCCTCCCAATGGCTGCTCCTGTAAATGATGCCACAAAACAGACAAAGGATGGGTGTCTCCCCCCAAATGGAAGACCATTCAGGTGTCTGTCTGACCATGTCCTTTGCGGGCCTTGTGTGTGTCCTTGGCAACAGGCAATCGGATATACAACTTCCACCAGATTACACACACACAGAGGGAAGGGGGCCCTCAGCATGGAATATTGCCATTTAGTCTTCACAGAAACACCACGGAAACGCAGATTTAAACAGACTCAATCATGTCCCATAGTGCCATGTATGGTGGGACCACAAGCACATTCTCTCATCACAAACACTCACAGTCACTCAGTCACATTCCCTCCCCACATCAATCAATTACCAGATGAACATTGACTATCAGTTCTGCAACCAAAGGAGAGTGTATGGGTCTCTTCTTCCACTCAAAGTGAGTGGGTCTGACTGATAGGACTCTAGATCCCCGGGAGCTTACCAGAATACCAGAGCTGACCACAGATGATGCATCAAGGTCCGGAATGAGAGTTGCTCCTTCTCTTCAATTGGAGTCCAATGACCCAGGAACGCTCGACCTCGAGGTGGGCATCCCAGCTGAGGGATCCTGTCAAACAAGTCAGGGGTGTGCCTATCCCTCCACACTGCAGTGCCCGTCCCTGGGGTGAAACACCCAGGGATCAGTGGCTCAAGGGGCCAGTCTGATTTTGCTTCACGCTCAATGTACCAAATGTTGTGGAAAAACAGACGCCAAGGGACAAAAGTGCAGTACTCCGGAGAGAAAAGCGAATTCTCTTTAATTACATCAGCAGGCACAGAGGAGTTAATACTCTCAATCTCCGCTCCCACCCCCCCACCATAGGGGTCAAGTGCAGTCTTTTATCAGAGGAGTTTGGGGAGGGGCAGTTTTCAGTGGGCTAAGTGAATTTTATCAGGGAAAAGAAGCCTATCAGGAAGAAGTCCATCAGGAAGATGCAGCCCAGAGTTCTCAGGAAGAAAAGGTCAGATAAGCGAAGTGTTGGCTACTCAAGGTCTCGGATTGCTTTTATCACTCCAGAAGGGGAGAGCCAGAGACAGTGAATTCACAGAGGCCTGGGAAATGTTGGCAATTGCCTGACTTGAGCTATTGTTAGTTCCGGGCCATCCACATCACTCTAATGATGTTTTGTATTTCTACTGTGTCTGTTGTAATGTTGCCTGTTTCATTATGTATTTGATTTATCTGGTTTTTTCTTTCTTCTTCTTTATCAGTGTAGCTAATGATATGTTGATCTTGTTCATCTTTAAAAAAAAAACAGCTTTTGCTTTCATTTATTTTCTGTATAGTTTGTTTATTTTCTATTTCATTTATTTCTGCTTGAATCTTTATTATTTCTTTTTGCCTGGCAGTTTTTGGACTTTTTGTTGCTATTTTTTCCTATTCCCTGAGGCATGATGTTAGGTTGTCTATTTGCCACCTTTCCATCTTTTTCCTCATGCGAACTAATTGCTATGACTTTCCCTCTTATGATTGCTTTTGCCATGTCCCATAGATTATGGAAACTCGTGTACTCATTATCATTTGTTTCCGTAATTTTTTTTTAATTTCAGACTTAATTGCTTCTGTAGTTAAGAAGTCATTCATAAGTAGATTGTTTAGTTTCCATGTGTTTGTGCATTTTTGAGAATTTTTCTTGAAATTAATATCGAGTTTAATTCCATCATGATCAGAGAAGATGCTAGATATTGTTTCTATGCCTTTGAATCTGTAAAGGTTTGATTTGTGTCTTATCATATGGTCAATCTTAGAAAAGGTTTCATGCCAGGGTGAGAAAGATGTATATTTTGTTGTCTTAGGGTGAAAAGTTCTATAGATGTCTGTCAAGCCCATTTGATTTATAGTATCATTTAGGTCCTGTGTATCTCTGCTCATTTTTTGCCTAGAAGAGCTCTCTAAAGAAGATAATGGGGTATTGAGATCCCTAACAATTATAGTGTTGCAACCTATCTCTCCTTTTAGCTCTAGTAGTCTTTCCTTCATGTATTTAGGTGTTCCTAAATTGGGTGCATAGATAGTTGAAGAATTAACATCTTTTGGATGAATCAGCCCATTTACTACTATATAATGTCCTCCTTTGTCTCTTCTTACAGTTTTTGTCTTAAAGCCTATTTTGTCTGAAATCAGTATTGCAACTCCAGCCCTTTTCTTATATCTGTTTACATGGAATATTTTTTTCCAGCCCTTCACTTCTAGTCTATATATGTCTTTATCCATAAGGTGTGTTTCTTGTAGCCAACTGATAGAGTGTTTGTTTTTTTTAATCCATTCAGCCAGGCTGTGTCTCTTGATCAGAGAATTTAATCCATTAACATTCA